AGGCTGTCAATCTTAAGGAAGCAGACTGCCTCATCTTTCTCCTGCAGAGCAGCCAGTTGGTTCAAACTGCTGACCTTTTGGTAAGCAGCCAAATGCTTTAACCACTACACCACTGGAGTGCTTTTGGGTCATGATATTCATATATATCGTGTGTGTGTATGTTAATGTGCTATTTTCTCTGGATGGAAGAGTTGCTGGATCCATTGCATTTCAACTATTCTTAGACACTTTTACAATCAATTTCTGAGCATGTGGCTTCAGTCCTGTATGGGGTAGAATTTAGCTTCACAGCATTCTGCAGTTCAGTTTCCCTCCCCATCTGCCTCCAACCCAGGACAAATGCTCTACTTCAGTGCTGCATCCTCAGGTTGGTAATATGGATTTAAACACCCTTGTAGCCATCACATGGCTTTGAGATTTTTTTTTTTTTTAAATATGAGTTTGAAGTAGGAAAGAGGGTTTTCTGTGTTAGCTCAATTCACCACCATCTTGTTGTTCCTAGGTGCTGTCCAGTCATCTCCGACTCATAGGGACCTTATGTACAACAGAACGAAACACTACCTGGTCCTGTGCCAGCCTCACGATCCTTGCCATACCTGAGCGCATCATTGCAGCCACTGTGTCAATCCATCTCATTGAGGGCTTTCCCCTTTTTCATTGACCCTCCACTTTACCAAGCATGATATCCTTCTCCAGAGAATGGTCCCTTCTGACAATGTGACCAAAGTAAATGAGACAAAGTCTGGCCATTCTTGCTTCCAAGGAGCATTCTGGCTGCACTTCCCAGGACAGATTTGTTAGTTCTTTTAGCAGTCCATAGTACTTTCACAGTATTCTTCACCAACACCACAACTCAAAAGCATCAACTCTTCTTTTGTCTTCCTTATTCATTGTCCAGCTCTCACAGGCATATGAGGCAAATGAAAATACCATGGCTTGGGTTAGGCACACCTAACCCAAGGAGACATCTTTTTCTTTAGCACTTGAAAGAGGTCTTTTGCAGCAGAATTTCCCAATACTGTAAGTCATCTGATGTCTTGACTGCTACTTCCATTGGTGTTGATTGTAGACCAAGTAATATGAAGTCTTTGACAACTTCAATCTATTCTCCATTTATTGTGATGCTGCTTATTGGTCCAGTTGTGAGGATTTTTGTTTTCTTTATATTGAGGTGTAATCCATACTGCAGACTGGTGTCTTTAATCTTCATCAGTAAGTGCTTCATCCTCACTTTCAGCAAGCAAAGCTGTGTCATCTGCGTATTGCAGGTTGTTAATAAGCCTTCCTCCAATCCTGACTCCACTTTCTTCTTCATGTATTCCAGCTTCTTGAATTACTCACTCAGCATACAGACTGAATAAGTATGGTGAAAAGATACACTCCTGATGCACTCCCTTCCTGATTTTAAACCATGCAGTACCCCCTTGTTCTGTTCGAACAACAGCCTCCTGATTTTTGTACAGGTTCCTCATGAGGACAATTAAGTATTCTGGAAATCCTGTTCTTCTCAATGTTATCCATAATTTGTTATGACCCACACAATCGAATGCTTTTGCATAGTCAATAAAACACAAGTAAACATCTTTCTAGTATTCTTGGCTTTCAGCCAAGATCCATCTGCTATCAGCAATATCACTCATTCCATGTCCTCTTCTGAATCCAGCTTGCATTTCTAGAAGTTCTCTGTCAATATATTGCTGCAACCATTTTTTAATTATCTTCAGTAAGATTTTACTTGCGTGTGATATTAATGATACTGTTCGATAATTTGCACAATCTGTGGTATAACCTTTCTTTGGAATGGGGACAAATCTGAGTATCTTCCAGTCAATTGACCGGTAGCTGTCTTCCAAATCTCTTGGCATAGCCAAGTGAGTGCCTCCAGAGCAGTATCCGCTTCTTGAAACAACTCATTGGGTAGCCTATCAATTCCTGGAGCCTTATTTTTCACCAATTCCTTCAGTGCAGCTTTGACTTCTTCCTTCAGTACCATTGGTTCTTGATCATATGCCAGCTCCTGAAATGGATGATTATTCTATCAATTCTTCTTGGGACAGTGATTCTGTGTTTTCCTTCCATCTTTTTTTTTTTTTTTAATTTTATTTTGATTTGGGTGAAGATTTACAGAGTAAATTCACTTTTCATACAGCAGTTCACATATACTTTGTCTCATGTCATTGACCAAA